CCTAACATTTTTTATTTTGCAAGTAACATTTTACTTAAAACCCTATTTATTGCTTTTTTTTTTTTTTTTTTTTTTATAAAAGCTGAAAGCCTGAATTTCATAGTGCTAAAACCTAAAACCGAGTATGCTGTGATCATGGCTCATGATTGGCCAGCATCAGCTAGCTAGCTCAGGTCTCACTGCCTATCTCAGCGTTTCTTATATTCTTAAATAACAAAGAGAGGAGAGAAAAGCTTCCCTATTTGGTCCTGTGAGCTACTTCATCCAGCAGCTGTGGAAGAAGGTAGGCATTGGTTGGTACTTCCTGTTTACTTAACTTTGATTTTTATTGTTCACTGGTCTGACTCTGGAGTACTGAGCATGGCCTATTTTCAGGTAATTATTTTCATCCGTTGGCTTCTTAGGATTTTTAGCTGAGCTTTCCCATGATAGGTTACCTCCCCTTTACATTCTTGTTTTATAGGGAACTGCCTTTTAAGCAGGTGTGGTCAACACGTCAGACTTAACTTGTATAGTTTGCCCATTGATAATTTTTCAGGCAATTGCCTTGTGAACATTTACTGCCATCAAAATAGTCTTAGGCGTTTCCTGCAGAACAGAATTGCATCATTTAGCTTAAAAGTATGATTTGAAAACTAATCTAGGTAAACCAATTTAGATAAACTGGTAAAAAGCTTTTTCTATAACTTAATTTATTTTGATTTACCTTAGGTCCACAAGGAATCAGTTTGAGTTTGGAGCAATAACCCATTCATAAAGAGAGCAGCACCTCTGCTGGAGCTGGCACCCAGCTGAATACACAGATACAGCATCCCAGCTTTAGTGAAACCAATGCTGTTCTTAATGTATACGAGGCCTTGGTCTTGCTCCCATCAGTCTTTGACTCTTGTTAAAGCCCCTGCTGACAGGCAACCTGACCTCCAACAGCAGACCCRTTTGCCTTGGGGGTAACAAATGGGAATCCCATTTTATGAGGAGAACAGGGGTGCTCGTTCTGGGGCTGTGCATTAAAGGGGGATGTTTGTTTTCCCAGCTCCTAACAGTTGTGTGTGTCTGGGGGCGCCTGCGGGACTGAACCCTTTAACGTCTCCCCAGGTGCTCCTTAAAGGAATTATTCCCCTTCAGCTTTCTCATGTTACTTAAAGAGAACAAGAAGAAGGGGAAAGGAGCGCAGCCGTCGACACAGCAGTGGAAGGAATCCTGGCTTCCTAGTCTCTTTTTTCCTAATTATGAATCCGCTGGCTCCTGYGGCCGTTGCTCCAGCTCCAGCTGATTTTACAAATTCTAGACATATCAGCCGAATATAGTGTTCATCATCCATCCCTCAGTAGACCTCCTGTTCAGAGCCTACAATTTTATTTTGTATAACTTAACTACATGTTGAGCTTAGTCACTAAGCTTTTATACTAAGGAAAATGCTTCAGTCACTTTAAGGAAAACTTTATCTTTCAAACCCACAGCACAGCTCCTCGCTATGTCTTCATCTTATTTCTATCTTTAGAAATGACTGATTTCTTCTCTTGGAAAGATCAAGCAAAAGCTTGAGGAAGTTAAACGCATCCTGCTTTTCTCAAAGCAGCACTGAAAACTGGGCAAGATTGACAGGTCCTTTATATAGCTACACAGACRCTCTTGAAAACTAATCACTTTAAAGTAAATCACATCAAAATTCCTTCTACTTTAACTGTTATCAAAGGATATAGCGGGTTGTCAACRCTCTGCAATAACCACCATCATCTGCAGGGTGCCCAGAAGGACATTTTCATCTGCAGACACCTTTGGAAGAATAAACTATATCAATAACCACATCTAGGCCTCCAAAGCAGAGGCAGCTCCCACCTTTGGCCTATTTTGGCCTGGCAGCGCCCTGCAGATCAGGAAATCGGGAATCGCCTTTAGTTCTTGCTGCGCTCATAGGCTCCATCCGCAGCTTTCTCCTTTGTCATGGGACAGGAGAGCAACGGGAAGGGCTGCAGACGGGGACGGTGCACGCCAGCGAGCCRGCCCCCTCGGCCCCTTGCTTGAGTCAGCACGTTCTGGTAGGAGTTGCTGTTCTGAAATCGCCCCCCTTGCTGCTTTTCTTTTCCTTCGTCGCCCCTAATTACTCACTCAAGGAATTTAATGCTGCCTGTAAAACCATCACGGCCATCAGCCTAACATCATCGCGCCGCCACCRCCGATCCTGGCTATCTCATTAACTTATATGGTCAGCTCCGCAGCTGCCCWGCTTCCCTGCTGTAAAACAATCCCTCCTCTGTGAGAAGCTGTGGAATTTCCCTTATCGATGGTTCAAATGACTCCTGCTTGTAAACCTCTCGCTGAGATGCTCCTCGATAGGGTTCCTGCTGGAGGCGCCGGGGGAGGGGAGCCGAGGGGGGCCATTTTGGGCTGTTATTTCAGTTCCAGTTGTTTGCTGCTTTCCCCGGGCGTCCCAGGACAAGTCAGGTTTTCGGTGCTGGTTCTCCTGGGTTTTTATCTCGACCGCCGGCCTGTGGATTACGTTTCTAGTGACGTGAGGGCCTCAGCGAAGGTCCCGCTGCCGCCCTGGCCGCGTGTGCAGGACCCGGGCGGTCGGAACCGGGTGGATCTCCCTGTTTACACTCTCCGTGTCTCCCAGCCTCTTCCTGGAAAGGATTTGTCAAGCCTGGCTAGTTTTCACACTGGCCATTTGGTCTTTATCTCCGAGCCACACACCTGCTGTTCCTCCCATCTGGGTTATTGGGCCTTTGCGGTTTTTCTCATTATCTCCTGTTGACTTCTAGGGCTTCTRGGCTCAACCATCTTGAGCACTGATTTTAGACCTCAGCAAAGGGCTTTTGGGGAGAAAGCAGATCTCTGTGAACAGACTTGATCTGACTTGATCTCCATTGAAGTATTTCAGGTAAACTCTCCATCTTGCTTACACAGAGATCTTGTCATGTTGAAGAGCTCGAGGAACTATGTGGTTTGGAGATGCTGCTGGCTGTGATTTAATGCTGAACATGACCAGTGATGGTTTTCTTTCCTCTTGTATGGGATACTATACCATTGGCCTTAGGTGTTTTTAGGTGGTGAGTTTTCTTATCATAATCCAGCAAGGTATAGCCTATGGGGCACATGGCAGAAAGGGCACATATGTGCCATACTGGGATGCTCATTCAGTTGCCCAGCCCACCACAACTCCTTCAAAGTCTCATATCCAGGTGTCAGCAGATAGGGAGACCCAGACAGCTCCCTGGAGCAACAGTCATCCAACTCRGTAGTAATTTTAGGAAATTCAGGTGCCTGCTGACACCAGAGACCAGCTCCCAGGGTATCTGTGGAAACTTGCTTTTTCTCCTTCTGTTTATTGAAGTTACAATTGCTAAGGGAATTGTGAAAGTTGTAATTGTTTTTTTTTTTCCTTTCAAGTTGTTATTTGTAGAGAATCTGAGATATGTAAGGACTTGAGGAGCTCTCTGTAGAAGATTTTAAGTAGGCTATTTTATCTGGGCTTTAGCTAAAAACTAACTGAAGCCTGAAGCTCGAGTACGGTGTAAAATCTGACTCTTCAACTATGCTTGATCATGATCTCCAGGAGTCCAAGGTCATATTTTCCTCCAAATCAAACCTCGTTTAGAAACACTAAAAGGACTTTACAACACTAGAATTGCAGCGTGAGAACATTAGCACTGTTTGGTGATCGGAAGAACTGACTGGAGTGCATCCCAAGCCMAACTCTAAGCCTCTGGTATTCTCTCTCATTTTGACTGCCTTTAACCAGCTTTCCCTCTGGGAAATGCCAAACCCTCCTTGGATTATCCTTTTTTTGCCAAGTCCAGGGGATGGAAGGTGACGGGCACGTGATGCACGAAGCTCTAAGTGCCGTTCCTGGTTGTACTGCTGGAACAGACCTTCTCCATCAGATTTTCTGGTACTTTGCTCTCAGTCCTCTCAGTATTTTGCACAAAGGAGCATTAATGTCWAAGATTCCGTACACGTAACCCTGTTTTCGGAACCGAGGGGCCCCTCCTTCCGTTTGCCCCTGTAATTCCCACTTGTTTGCTGCTAGTGCTCAATTTGTTGGGAAATCTGTACATCTGCTAAAGGGTTAACAGGGCTGCCTCCCCCTCTCCTGCACTAATTGCCAATATTGGCAGCTTTTTGTTTGTTTTTTCTTTTTTAACAAAGGGTGTAAAGAATCAATGCACCCATACCCTTGCAAAGGACAAGTGTCCCTAGACCAGTTACKCACGTGCTCCTCGCAGGTGGGACGAGGGAGGAAGCCGAGGGCTGCGGATCACTCGGATCACTAACACTGCCCCAGCGAAGCCGCGAGGCTGGGAGAGGGCGCCCGGCCCGGCAGCCTGGCGAGGGATGCGAGTGCCGGGGGATTTGGTTGCCTTTTTTTTAATCAACAGAGCAATGGTTTTAATCGATTTTTTTTTCATTTCCCACATAAATGGAAGGAACCTTCCGCAGCAAGAAAAATCCTTCTGAACAAAATGGCTGTGTCCGCTGACTATTTTTAAAAAAGAAAAAAGAAAAAAAAAAGAAACTGTTTTGAACGTTTTTAGTGTCAAAAGCATAAACACGAGAATCCTGACTTTTTCCAGTGTGTGTGGTGAGTGCTGTAACCCTGTCATCAGTACCTCTCCTGACTTTTTCAGGGGTGTTTTTTTTCTGTTTTGTTTTCTGCTTGTCGATATTGTCTGTGTGGTCCTAAGGCTGGGGCAGTTACCAACAATGTGTGTCTGTTGTCGGATTATAAAAGATAGTAGTAGAACTGAAAAAAAAAAAAAAGATGTGTTTTTAAAATATATAAAAATAAATTTCATCAAAAGGAATTCAAGTAAAGAACAACAAAGCAGTGACTCCTCCTCTTGGGATTGTAAGGAAAAGGATTTGTGGGCTCCTAATTATAACCAGTTGCCTTTAACAGGCGTTTAAGGTCCAAGGCAGCTTGGCCTCC